ATATATATATATATATATATATATATATGTTGTATATAACGTGAATGTGTAAGCCGGCGCTTTATGTGAGTTGATGCCCAGAGGCAGGTTACGTTTAGGAGATTAATTTTTGAGTTATAAATTCTTAAAGTAATCTTTCAATTAGTGCGATAGAATTAATCTATCATGGAAGAATTGATGCAGCATTTAGGTAAAATAAAAATTCCAAAACAGACCGATAAAATATATAAGGATGAATGTGTTTATTCGTTCGACACGCCAGTAAGATATTTTTTTCTATTTTTCCTTATATATCCTAATAATATTTATTCATATTAATAATTCTCTCCGTTTATTTATTTTTTTTTTATTTTATCTTCTTTATTATCAGGATTCACCTACAGGTTTATATATTAGTCTAGCAACATTTTTGGGGTTGGGACAAGACCATGTTCTTCATTACTATCGGTTAACCCATAATCCTGTCTTTCTTCACATAAAACGTACAAAGAAGGAGGTACGTTAGAAATAATCTTTTCATTAATTACAATCTCATGCGTGTATTTTTTTATTTAAAAAAAAAAATTTTGTGACATTGTAGATTGTACCTGATCAAAAAGGAGATGGTCCTGATAAAAAGATAACGAGATTAGCCATAGGAACTTCTGGTGGCTTTACACCGGATCAACAAAAGTATACTTATTATGAGGAATATAAAATATTTATATTGCCAAAGTTTACTGAAATTTCTTATCCTAGGGAGGGTCTGCCAGCACAAGTACGTGTATAAATAAATATATCATGATCAATAAGTTTGTTATATTATTGTTTTGAAATTTTTGTAATAAATTTTCAGGTAGAACTATCTGTCAAATTGATACTGGAATCAGATTCTGCATTGAAAGTCGCAGAAACAGAAACTTTAGCTGGAACTTGGGATGGTGAAATAAAAGCTGTAACTAAGTAAGTTCCTTGTATTCAATGTGAAATGATTATATTCTGTTTTAATGAAAAAGTTTATATACGTTTATTATTCTTTACAATACCCTTTAATGGACGCATATATTAAAGAAAAGTTAACATTATTATTGATATTTATTTAATGTTTCTAGGCATGCCAAGAATTTGAAGCAATTGGATAATGGTATAAAAATTTCTCCAAGCGGTTGGAAGTGCGAGAAATGTGATCTCAGACAGAATCTTTGGCTTAATCTAACCGATGGCTCTATTCTTTGCGGACGTAAATTTTACGATGGCACTGGAGGGAATGATCATGCAGTTGAACATTATCGTAATACGAATTATCCACTCGCTGTTAAATTGGGTACCATAACAAAGGAAGGAAAAGCAGACGTTTTTTCATACGATGAAAATGACATGGTAGAAGATCCTAATTTAATAGAGCATTTGGCCCACTGGGGAATTAACATCACTCAAATGGAAAAAACTGATAAATCTATGGTCGAGTTAGAATTAGACCTTAATCAAAAATTCGGAGAATGGGTTGCCCTTCAAGAAGCTGCTAGCAAATTAACGCCATTGTATGGGGCTGGCTACACTGGTCTTGCTAATCTTGGAAATTCTTGTTATCTAAATAGTGTTATGCAAATGTTATTTGCTATTCCCGACTTTATAAAAAGGTACATTATATATGTAATATATGTATATAAAGTCCTCTATAAATTATTTTTTAATTATATATATATGTATGCGTAATAATAATTAAAAATATTTTGTATAGATTTGTAGATGGTGCACCGTACATATATAAACAAAATTACACTGATCCAGCTAATGACTTTAATGTTCAAATGTAAGATTTGTATCTAGCAAAACAAATAGTTCACACATATCCGAGATATTTATATAATTAATATATTTATTCTAGGTCTAAACTCGGAGTTGGATTACTTTCGGGAAGATATTCCGTATCACCACTATCAAACACAGATGATGATTCGCGACAAGGTATTCCTCCAAGAATGTTCAAAACCTTGATTGGTCGTGGACATCCAGGTTTTTCCTCAAATCGGCAACAAGACGCTCAGGAATTCCTTCTACAGCTCATTAACATTTTAGATGTAATTATTTATAACACATAAATAAGATTTAAAAAATGTGTTTACAAAGTGGTAAATATCAAAATGTATCTCCACCGGTTTAATGAGACTTTTTTTCTTTTGTTTTTTAACAGGCAGAGGCATCCAACTTTCTTGTAAATTATTATTTTAATGAAATATTTAACATGTTTTTACAAAGTTTCATAAAAAATTAAGATTTTTAACTTAGGAACTGTTTATGCCTTATTTATTAGTATAAATGTATTTGTAAATAATTTTATAATGTATTTCAATGTTTTTTTTATGTATCAATATCATGTACTATTTTATTAATGAAATATAATTTAATTTAACAGCGTAACAGCAGACATCAGGTAAATCCTACGCAATGCTTTAAATTTAAGGTCGAAGAACGTTATCAATGCACAAGTTCTGGTAAAGTGAAATATACTTATCGTCCTGAATACATCTTACCATTACCTATACCATTAGAAGCGGCAACTAACAAGGTATGACGAATTATATTTATAAAAAGTAATTATTTACATATTATTACTATATTTTTCAATTAAGTATCCAGATAATATCCTCACTACAAATAAATTGCAACTGAAGTTGGATCTAATGGTCAGTGAATAGTAGTAATGAAATGTAGTATAATATCAGGAAGAAGTTGCGGCATATGAAGCACTGAAGAAAGAAACAGAAGCAAAAGGACAAAAAGTAGACCCAAATGCATTCGTGAGGCTACGTATTAAACTAATGTCTTGCCTGGAAACTTTTATACAACCGGAAATAGTCGAACAATTTTACAGTACCGCATTGAACGAAAAAACAACCGCGCAAAAGTAAGCATTCGATAATTCGATAATATTTTCTTATTTTTTACAATAATTATTATTATTCTTTTTTTGTATTAAATATTACAGAACAACGAGATTGGCCACATTTCCTGATTTCCTATTGTTGCATTTGAAAAAGTTTACTATGAAGGAAAATTGGAGCCCTGTTAAATTAGATGTAGCTATAGAAATGCCAGATGTAATAGATCTGAGCTCTTTACGTGGCTTAGGTTTACAACCTGGAGAAACTTTGTTACCGGATTTAGCTGGTTCTGACCCACCATCTCCAGTCTACGATCGTAGTATTTTAAATAACCTAACAGATATGGGTTTCCCTCAAGAAGCTTGTAAACGAGCTTTGTATTTCACCGACAATCGTAGTGTAGAAGCAGCTACTAATTGGGTGATGGAACATATTGGTGATTCTGATATTGCGGATCCGTTCGTGCCTCCTGGAATTGATGTTAAAACAGGTAAATAGCACTTTATAGAGATTCCTATATGAACAATTTGAAAGTCAAAACGATTAACTTCACTTAAAAAAAAATAAAATTTAATATATTTAATCAAAATTTTAGGAAGTGATAAATTTGTACCAAATGACAATGCATTGGCAACGGTAATGAGTATGGGTTTTACTAAAGAACAAGCAATAAAAGCTCTCAAAGCGACTAATAATAATTTAGAACGCGCAGCCGATTGGATATTTAGTCATCAAGTTGAATTGGATGACGGTGAAAACGATGCTGGATATTCAGACGATATATTTCGAGATGGAAGTAATCGTACGTATTTTATTATTTGTTATTTCAAATATTATATTACTATATCAAATCCTTATCGTTTTAATTAATATTATTAATTATATTTTCTATTTACAGAATACAAATTAGTAGGATTTATATCACATATGGGGACGTCATCAATGGTAGGACATTACGTTTGTCATTTGTTGAAAAATAATCGATGGGTGATATATAATGACGATAAAGTAAGTACTACAATAAATCTATCTATATTTTATGTTCATATCGTTATTTGATATTTTATATCTGATTATTTTTTACAGGTTGCTTTATCTGAAAATCCACCTAAGGAGCTGGGATACATATACCTCTATCAACGTATCGAATAGATTACTTGATATTGACTTTGTATAAAAAAAAAAAGAAAAAAAATATTATATCATCCTTTAACAATAAAAAATACGGCAAATAATAATTACACTGCGTGTGTTCTCGATATTCGTTTAATTAACAATATGTATTTTTTTAATGTCATGTATAATTTTTAATGAAAATGATCATTATTTAAATTTGAATTAATTATGGTATTATTTTTAATGCTTTCCGTGGAAATATTTAAACGGATAATTTTAAATATGAGTTATTTGAAACTTTAACACAAAAATTATATGTTATTTTTTATTACAAACACATATTTTGAATAAAATCAAATTCTTTATAAATATTGTCATATAATTAATTCATATAAAATATTAATTTATACGTGCATTTCTATCGTATGGTAGATTTAAAATAATCCGAACATTTATATATATACTTATATATTTTTTCATAATTATTTATTATAAAATGTGAGCATTATACTATGAAAATTTTCAAAGGGTTTAAATTTAATATTCTAGAAAATATTATTTTTCATTATATTAGTTGTGGAAAGTATATTATTGTATCTAAAACTTTTTTATATTTTGGCTCAATCAATTTGTTATAATCAATAAAATTTACACAAATTGAAACTAATTTTATTTAGTTAACAATTTTAGCATAAAGTTTGTTAAAACGGATATAAAAAGTTTATATGCTAAATTAGTTTTTTTATTTTACCCATATCTATTGAATATTATTTTTCTTAACAATGTTAATAATTACAATATTGCATGCACATAACTTGCATTTGTATATTACAAAAGTTAAAAAAAAAGAAAAACAAATTACAAAAATATATTTTGATTGTAAGTAGAAGGCCACAATTTTACATTAAAAAAAATGTATAGAAGCTTAATAGAATCTATGGCTAATGTTTTAACGTAAATAACCAGAGGGATCCTTTTTAAGTTTACAAATTCAACGGTTTCACAAAATTCATGTTATATATAAGCTCTCTCTCTCTCTTATTAGTATGTATATTTTATATTATATTATTGTAAACTACAAACAAATGAAATATATTTTATATACGTATTTCAAACATATCTATAGATTTTTGATTGATTATGGTGAATTAAAGCGATCAATATATTTAGCGATAATTACCTAATTCTTTTTTTTATTAATTGTTATTGTAATAAATGTTTGTGGTATATTTACTGTTACAAATAACATTAACGTATTATTTTAATGCTGCTTAGATACTATTTAACTTTTAGAAATATTCTTACCACAAACAATTAGGCACAACTTATCACAAAAATGTGATTATAAATTATCAATTGTTATATACAGGGTGCTTCGTAATACTCATGTTTATATAAATTATTTTCCATTGTTTCTGTGCCCTCCCTGACCACTCTCAAAGTGGGTCTCATATATTACGAAACACTGTGTAACATATATAAAATGTATTTGAGAATTAAAATTAATATTGTTTATTTAATAAAATTTACTATGAATTAATTAAAAATATATATGATATTTACAAAGAAAGAATTTAATTTCTTAAAGTTTTGTTTCTATTAAATAGTTCCTACAATTATTTACCAGTTTGAAGTATATAGATTAATGTTCTTTCGTATAATCAAAAGCAAATCAGATATTAAATAATTGACTCAAATATAAAATAATAATAGCCATTGGTTAAAATAATTAATAGATATATGACTACCTATATATACATAAATATGCATATATATATAAATATATATATGTATATCTATTTTTTAAGTTTTTGTTTTTACACAAAATCTTAGTAAAATACTTTCTTAGTAAAATACAAAATACTTTACATATTTTGTATTATTAACTTATATTATATAGCTTTTTTCACATGTGTAATAACAATACTTTTATTTTCATTAAAATTTCATTACCGTAATATTTAATTAAAATTTTAATATTAAAATATATGGTGATATATTATATATATATGTATAATTAAAAACGCTTATACTTTATAAACAAAAAAGTGTTGTTACTAATTATAATATAATAGCACATGCACATATATAAAATGTATTCTTATAAAATAATCTAAAATTTATATATCTCACCGTAGGTTATACTTAACTAACTGTCCTGATTTCTTGTCTAGAATTAGGATCGATTATACCAATGGATGGCGGTATGGCATAAATAATTTGATCTCCATCTTTCTTAAATATCGGTTCAATTATATCAGGCATTACTTCTACTCGTAATACTCTACTCTTGTTACCCAGCATACATTTAAACTTTACGTCTACAGTAACTTGTAGATCAGTACCACGTAATCTGTTAACAAACATTTTGATCATATTATCTTTAATAATAATTCAACTTCAAGAATAATTTCGATCACATAAAGAAATTTAACTTACTGATTGTATCTAGTACTTAATATACCAACAAGTTCACCGACTCTATCTTCCTTGGCAGTGATTGAAATAATAAAATCATTTCCTCGATTAGAATGAATGATTATAAGTTGATCTTTTCCAGGTGATACGCTTAAGCCAGTTATTTCAGCAATAGGTATACCTTTTTTCATAGTCTTAAATTTGACACTTTCTAATTTGTACAAAGCATGTTCTGTTACTACCAAAACACGATCAGCTTGTTTGTGAAATCTGTATTAAGAAAAGAAAAATAAGTTATTCTACTTAATCGTATTATAAAAGTATTAAGAATATTTTTAATAACCTATTAGTTTTTCTGACGAATGAACTGAATAGAACAGTCTTAAAATGATCTGTATTTCGGAGATTATTTATCGAAGAAATGAAAACATCATTGTGAGGATTCTCATCTGGTTTAGATAAATAATTTCCTTCCCAACGTCTATCCTGACCCCAATAAAGTCTTTTGGAACGTAATACAGCTCCTGCAGCCATCTTAAATAAAATAAGAAATGGAAAAATTGTTTAAACTATAAGATAAAAAAAAATATATTTTTCTATATCATTTACCTTTAATCGTAATTGTGGCCAATCTTCTCTAGGAACAATTTTAAGCACCATCCAAGCACGCCATCTTGCAAAAATCATTTTTAACGAGGGTACAACATGACGAACAGCATAATTCTCTTTTGGCCATGTTAAATGTTTACCATGGTCGCGCATAGACTTAACATTAATAAAAGTTTTTTCCAACGCTTTCATATAAAAATATCTCTTGTATTGACGATAATATCTTATAATAAACAATGCAGCTTTCATTTTTTTATATTTTTGTCGACACAAGTAACCGCGCCATTGTTTTTGTAATAATATTACAATCCCTGGTATCAAATCTTCACGTGCCTAAAATTAAAAATATGTTAATTTGAAGAACATTAATAATTATACATTATGTGTTTCTATTTATATAAACTAAAGAAAATAATAATGCGAGATTAACAAACCTTTTCTAATGCAAATAACGTTTGAGGTGAGCGTATAAATATTTTAGTATGACCATACTTAATATCATCTGAAAAACCTTTTTCTTCCATCAACGTACGAACTCCATCTTTATCATTACCGCCTCTAAAGTTAGGCCAAGTATATTGTGATATCATCTTATATCTAAAAAAAAAAATTATCCTCTCGTAAAAAATTATGGAACGTAAGATAAAATAAAATATAATAATATAAAGTTATATAGTAACCTTTTCAAAAATCTGTCATATTTTTGTCTATGAGCAAACCCTGCTCTTCTTACTAATATATTTTCAACGAGTCCCAAATATCTTACTTGATGGTTTACTCTTTCTTCATCAAAAACAATAGGAGATTTAATTTCATTAGGTTTTATGCACCGAATGTAAAATGGTTCTTTGCTAGTTAAATTTTTAACCAATGCGATCATAGAGTTACGGAATAATGTACCAGCGGTCAATGGCCTTTTCGTAGTCTGTTTTATAATGAAAATGCACATTTCAATTTGTAATAATTAGAATACGTAATAATATGTAATATCTCTGTTAAATATATTTATATACATATATTTACTTTTGTAATATCTTGAGCACCTTCTGGCCACATATTACTGATTATAGAATCATTGCTTTTATAAAGTAAACGTTTAAAATCTTGAAATAGAGTGTCTTTGTTTTTATCCAAAAAACCATTAATGTTATATACAACATCACCGGCATAATGTTTGATTTTAAAATGAATCCTGTGTTGTAATTCCTTATCCATTGGTTTTAATTGTCGAGAGGAATAATGTTGATGATCTGCCAATTTTGTATCCATCGCTTCGAGAAGCATCTAAAAGAAAAGAAAATGATATTTTCTACGAACATTGAAATGGTACATTTTTGTAATTATTTATTATCATACCTCATCCGTTACTTTGCCTACGTTGAGACACGCTTCATCCATGATAGCTAATATTCCTTTATGAGATAGTTCCACTAAGTCACAAATTATTTGATTATTAAAATATTCAATATTTTGCCATGCAATTCCTTCCCTCTTATACTCTTCTTGTTCTTGTTTTAAAACCAATTCTGAAAATTTGTGTATAATCATATATATATGTCAAGTATAATTATAATATATAATTTTTTAGATTCACACAATTAACATCAAAGTATTATATAAATATATGTAACAAATAATATAATAATAATAATAATAATAATAATAATAATAAGTATATATATATATATATATATACATCTATATATATACTATACAATAAGAAATATAAGAAAAATAAAAGTATAGATCACAATTAGTATTTTTATATTTACATATAAAGTACTATACTCACTAAGTATATACTTGGCGTTAAGTCTCTATGACTCTTGATCCTATTAAATGAACTTATCATTTATAACTGCATATATAGATGCATGATCAACGTTAAAATATTATATGATCATATATACATATTATGCAATAAGAAATATAAGGAAAAGGATAAAAGCATTGGTTATTTAATTAGTCAATTACGTATCGCATATAATAAACTTACCGATAAAAAGTTGTTGTAATTTTTCATTGCAGTAGTTGATACAAAATTGTTCAAAGCTGTTCACATCAAAGATTTCAAATCCATAAATATCTAAGACACCGATGACTGTTTGATATTTACTAGACAAGTTATTATCATTTACATTAATGGAATCATTAACGCGTGATACGATCCATGTAAATAGCCTTTCATATATTGCCTAAATAATTGAAGCATATTGTTAATATTATTTATATTCATTATGATTTTATATGATATAATTTGAATAATATATATTATAAGCAATTATGTTACCTTTGCCAAAGCATCCCTACCATATTCAGCTTCCATTAAAGTATGCGTTTTTTGCATTATTTCTCCACCAGCTGCTATCACTCTTTGAGATAAAGCAGTCCTTAGTTCATTTGAACCAATAGAAAATAAAGCTGCTGTATTAGCTAGAGCGTTACTTTTCTCAACAATAAGTTTGTCTTCATTTATTTTATACATAATATTACCCTAAATGGTAAAGAGAGATTAATTAAAAAATAAAAGCTGAATGAACAAATAAATGAAAGTTAAAAAATAATAATTAAATAACATTACTAGATGTAAAATGCCAGAGATAATATTCCAAATTGTTTGTATTTCATTTTGTGAAAATCCTAAAGTAGACATGGCCCCGTTAACAGTCTTATAGTCACCCTTATCATTTATATTTGATTTATTATCATCTTTATTGATATAATAGTAAGCACTAGCATCACGCACTAATTTCATTTGATGCAAGTCAACTTCACTACAACCATTAATCAGCTAGAAAATTAAATTAAATATTATATGAAACATTCCATTTAACATCGTTACAAATAATCTCGGTCATGTGTTTTAGATTATTATACCTGATAAAAACAATGAAAATTACGTTCTCCTTTTTGTTGATAGACTACTCGTGATTTTTCAAGTAAATAATTAGTTATGTGTCCACCCACCGGATCCCCTTTGAAATCAAAATTAATGTCCATATATTTTCCAAAACGAGACGAATTGTCATTCCTATTCGTTTTAGCATTTCCAAATGCTTCTAATATTGAATTTGATTGTATAAGCACGTTCTTTACTCTGAAATTGGCAAATCAAGCAAGATAATTATATTATTAATTAAGTATTTAGATACATGTAAGAGAATGCATTTTATAGTAAAAATAAAAAGATCAAGTACAAAGTATCATTATCAAAATCTTTAATTGAAAGAAAAATAATATAAATTATCTAAAAAAAAGAGATTATATGATAGATTAGATAATGATGTTTTATAATTCACTGTTATTTTTTTATTTTTTATATTAAATCTTTTATTAGATACTACTAAGAATAACAGACCTTTCGATTTCCTGCTGTCCGCTTAGATTAGTAACAGCAGCAATATATTTCATAATAATTTTGCTAGCTTCCGTTTTTCCAGATCCTGATTCGCCGCTTATCACTATACATGTGTCCCGACCTTGTTGCTTCATCTCGCGATGTGCTGCATCCGCGATAGCAAATATGTGTGGTGGATTTTCGAATAATTCTCTCCCTAGAAAAGGAAGAAAATATACAACAAGAAATATAAAATAACAAGTTAATCGATACAAATTAAATTAACATATCTAGCGTATTATAATTTTATTTCTATTACCTTTATATTTATTAATATGGTTCGCATCATAGATATTTGTATTTTTATAAGGATTAACACTTACGCATACTTCCCCAATATACGTATATATTTTTCCACCTTTGAATCTGAAATAATACAAATAGATTATTTATTATACAATAAATATGTGATTAAACAATCTAAATGATCGATTTTAAATATAAATTCCTGTATCGTTTAGAAATATAGTTTAAACGATAAGAGAGCGTGCGTAATTTCAAAATTTTTTGCAGACAAAAGAGAGATATGCATTTGTTCTATCAAAATCAATTATTATCAATAACAATTTTCTATTTCTTTTTATCAACAATATAAATACGTGAACACGTCATTCTTGTATTTTCTTTTTTACTGATAGTGCATATGTATGTTCAACAAAATTTAAAGAAATAAAAAAGAAAAAGATATGAGTCTGTATAAGCAAACAGATGAGCAAATTTTATTTATAAAAGATGAAATAAAATCAAATATAAATGCATATATATATGTACATATAACTAAAAAAAAGAGAAAAAAAAATAGGACACATTCTTAAGTAATGCGTCTATGAGTATTTAAAGAACATTATGATGTGAACGCACACCGATTTAGCGAACAGGTGACTCATACTTCACGTAAATGTGATAAGCGAATTACGTACTTATACGGTGTACAATCGTTGCACCGAAAGAAACACATTGTTAAAGAGATATATTTTTTTCTCCAACATTAATTATACATAGAACAACAATAAAAATATTAACGAATCATCAATATATGTTTTCGTAAATCTATATACGCAAATTTGATTATAAATTTGATTATTTGGAAATATTTTTCGTGTTTTATTAATAAAAATAAATATGAAATATTTTCTTTTTAGATATGTATATATATGTATGTTACTATTGTCATTATTAAGTGTTTTAATAAAAGAATGTAAAATTTAAATCGTTAGCGCTTTTCAACCACCTGCTGCAAGTATGAACCACGCCCTCTCGGTAGAGATGAATGAATCAAGAATAACAAATTAACTGAAAGACGCGCGCCCATTCTTTCCAACAAACTGTCAAAAAAATCTGAACAAATTATGAAAATAATAATAGACATTTTTCCTATTTTTTCGATAAATTTCGATGTTGTTAAAAAACAATATTGAGATCAAATAAAACTTACCTAACTTTCAAGTTTTCCACGACCTTCTCGATGTTGATCTCATCCAGTAGGACAAAATCTCCAATGCCAATATCCTCGTGAGTTGCCATTTTCTTCTATCGTTAATGGGGGAATATAACAAGTTTACGATGAACTTATTAATTTATCCAACGTTTTATTAGATATTATTGTTAAATGTCACTATACAATAGTCAATCGTACCTACTACTGACTAATTTCCACATGTTGCTACTCATTTTAGAAGTATCGTTTTATCTATCGTCATACCATTATATGATGCAGAGGGCATTAAATTCGCAACGATACTATAGACACCTATCGGTGCTTTTCGTAATTATTTGCAACACTTTTTAAATTTGTGAATCTCATTAAAAAAAAAATTTAGGTAATTTTGATTTATATCTATAAATGACGTTTGTGTGTGATTATTTATTAGATACGTCCAAAGCACAAAAAAATTGGCAAGAACCGCAACAGCAGAAAAAAATGAATAAGTGCTCTTAATTGCTCAATCAAAATCCATATTTAATTATTTATTAATAATTGAAAAATCGAAAATGTTTTTTCTCTTCTCTAAGCAAAGCAATGAAGTTTATAAGAATACACTATTCTCTCTTTGATAGTATAAATAATATAGTTCTATTGTAATAAAATTTGAAATAAATATATTTACTTTTTACTGTATAAACATATGTGTGTGCCTTCAGAAATGCATTTATACGTATATTTTAAAATGAAGCAATTTAAGACACTCAAATAAAAAAGAATCCAGAAGGTTTGATGATAAATCCAACGATGATCACCTGTAACAAGAAGAAAACTATATTAGTCATACAGACAAAAGTGATACAATAGCCTGACATATAAATCGTCCAATTCGCAGATGCACTTTTTAATTG